GAGAGAGAGAGAGAGAGAGAGAGAGAGAGAGAGAGAAAGCATATTTCTGTCAGAAAGGAATTGAGAGGTGAAGAAGGGATTGAAAAAGAAACCTCAGAAACAATTAGAGACCCGTGATGTTCTACATAATAGTGAACATTGTGGAACAATGAGAGAGAAAGATCGATAAACCCAAGAATAATAAATAACAGCTTTGTGGGCAAAATAGGATTTGAACTTGGCCTTGACCAGTGGATAGAATTTGACTGGCAAATAGAATTTAAAGAGGCAGAAGGAGGGCATTGAATGATTGGGCAATGCCATTGGAGTAGGAGTTAACAGGGTATGTAAGATGAACAATGGGTGGCCAGGCTGACTGAACCAAGGGTCCACGATGCCAGTAGTTGGAAATAAGGTTGAATAGGAAGGTAGGCAGGTAAGCCGAAGACTGATTGAACTCAGAGCTCTTGAATTTGAATCCCATCTGTGCACCTTGGAGCATATAACTTCTCCATGCTTCAGTACCCTAGGTAACAGGAGATAATCACCGTCTTCCTGTTTTATTGTTAAGGATATTTAATTTGATTCACCAGTAAGGTTTACTACCTTGCCTCCCATGTGTTCTATATACCTTAGTAAGCATTTTCATGCCCTCTGGTTTGGTTGGGAAGTGAAACTGAACATGCTACAACAATATTAAATGATTATATTTTAGGTGAAGTCAGACCAAAAAAAGACTTGAAAGTAGTCTGAGAGTCTGAACTCTAATAAACAACACAGAGCTGTTCTTAAGCAGAGTTGAATTTAGGGAATCTCAGTTTAGAAAGTGTCTATTCAGACCTTTGGAGCACTTGAATACTGTGCTCTGCTCTCTTCTAGTTGCTCAGACATCTCACCCTGGGGAAGGAAACCACTTGGCTGCCTGCACTGGTATGTGGATTGGTGACAAACAGCAGGGACGGCATTTGGTCTGAAAAGAAAAAATGAAATTGGATTTCAGGGGATTAAAGTTAGTCACATTTTTGTGGTTCTTTTCCTTTGCAGTGGGTCTTTAAGGGTCCAGTTCTGAGGTTAATAAAAAAGCTGGAGAACAAGATTGAATATTAACGAGTACCTCTTGGATAGTTACTGGAAAGTTACTATAGATGGTCTCTGAATAGGCCTTTGCCCTCTTAGAAACACTGACTCTTGTAACCTCTAGGCATGGGCTTGACTGCACCAGTTCATCTTGTGGCATTCCAAGGAGACCGATTAGCAGAGGCAGAGGAGCCATGTCCAATTGTCAAGGGTGGAGAGGCACCGCTCAAGTCTTGGGATCTGGCCATTAGTCAATAGTCCTCTGACCCTCTTAGTCTACTTCAGCTAGGCTCTTCTCCAATTCTGATTGTCTGGCCTTTGCATAATTACAGTGTCTTCCCTGTGGGATTTGCTAGTGATTCTTGGACTGTGATGCTAAAGCAAAGAGGCCCAACAAGTTACTTGCTATTTTCATTAAACTTAGCCAGTTTCTCCAATAGTTTACCTATTTAAGGTTAACTATGTTTAAACACCCAGCAGTTGCAGATTATCTTGGATAGTTAAAAAGTTTTTCTTTCAAGCCATTCTGCTTTTCAGATTGAACATTCTCCTTGGCACTTTGTATTTTGCAATCTCGGCTTCTGCTGTCATCTTTTAGGAATTTGGAATCAGAGTAGAACTGTGACTTTACCCATATGTGATGGTGATCAAGGTCAAGCAGGAGTTTGAGGGGGGAAGTCCTTAGCCCATTTTGCTACTCTAAAAGGGTAATTAGTGATAAAGAAGGGTAAAGTGTTGGCCAAACCCGGTGCTTGATATTTTTTTAATCAGGAACATACCCATGGTGAGTAAAATACACAATATTAATAAGAGAAGTTACAGAAGACATACCAGACAATGTACAAATAACATGAAGTAAACATACAAGAAAAAGTTATCTGTGCTTCACCTATCATGTGGTCACACCATCTAAAATACCTTATTTTTTGCAGAAATAAATATTAAGGAATGTTCTTGAGACCTTTCCTACTGATCTTGGAGAACAGTTATAAAAGTGAGAAATACAGTATATAGTCCACAGTAACATCTTTGTATTAAAAAAAAAAAAGTTTTCCTGCCACTGTACAAAAGTCAAAAGCTAGTTATCCTTTTTGCCCTTCCAAACTCCCCTGGTGAGTCTGATGCCAGGAGCCCCCCTTCCTAAATTTTATGGTGTGTCCACAGAGCCCCTCAAATGGAAGCTTGGACTTTACTCTGTTTCTTCTCCCCTCCCCTCCCCATTTTAAAAAGGCTTTAAAGAACATCTCTGGGAGACAAAAATAGCCCCAGTTGTGAGAGGCCTGCACACTGGGAATGCAACCGAGACATGCAAGTCAGCAAGTGCACGCCGCGAACATGAGTGTCTGGCCCTGGGTGGATGCTCCTCGCTATCTTGGTGCCGATTCTCTGCCTGGGCCCGGTGGGTAGAAGGGAGAAAGGTTTTACAGGGTGGGAGGTGGGTCGGGTTGGTTTGGGATCCGATCGCCTAAGAATGGAAACCCCAGCATTCTGGCTCAGGGGGCTCTTCCTTCCCTTCCCCCCACGTTTTTCAAATTTATTTTGCCCAGGCGAGGATTGGCGACGGTCAGAAGGGAGCAGTTGGTACTGAGTGTCACCCTGAAGGTAAAATGAAAGACAAAAGATGAACGCATGCTTGCTTTCCTTTTGCAGCGGCTGCGGCGGCGGCAGGAGCAGCAGGATTTAAAGGGGAAAAAAAAATCACACGCACATACACACATATATACACACCCAGAGGCGTCAATTATGCAAACGCAATAATGCGATCAAATCATGACTGTGCCGGGAATTTTTTTTAAAAAAATATAGATATTTATTTTAAAAAAACAGAGAGAAACGCATGCAAACAGAAACGTGCACATACCACGTAACCACCCGAGGAGAACCTGGCAGCCTCTCTCTTCTTCTGCCAAGTTATCATTGAGAAAACAGACAGGCATCATGACGTCCTGGGTCACAGGGAGTGCGGACCGACGCTACCAAGAGAAAAGGGAGGCGCCTCAGCGCTCCGGCTAGCCGCGGGCGCCCCTCTGCCCCTCGCAGCCTGGCTCGGTGAGTGCACAGCCGCTCGGGACGCGGACCCCGGGTGCCAGGCCGGCCCCGTGCCCTCAGGGGCAGAGCGGGGGGCCGTGCCCTTGCCACCGGCGGGCCGGCCAGCACCCCCTCTCCTGCTGAGGTCGTGGGAGCCCAGTTAAAGGAGGCGTGTGTAAGATGTGCAATGTTCCTGCATGGGGGTTTTGTAGACTTTCATAGCCAAAGAAACCGGCTTCGGCTTCTTTAAAATCCCCGACGACTCACCTGATTAACCTGCTGCAGTTCTGACCCTGCCAAGGTAACTGCTCCAAATCCTTATCATCAACATCTGGAGACAGACATTTGCATCTGGGGCATTCTTTATTTGCAGTCCTGGTTGAAATCTGTATTGCTACCCCCTTCCCCCCTTCACTTGCTTAGAGTCTCTTGGAGGAAAAAAAAAAAAAAAAAAAGAAAAGAAAAAGCAACCCCTCCCTCAATAACACAACCCTAAGTACTGCCCACCTCTTGTAGACTTGCCTGACCATGACTGCAAAACTGTCAGCGTGTGTGCTAGAGACACAGATAAATCCTAATTGCAATTAGATTTGTTCTTTCAACACCCCTCCCCTCCCCCCTCCTGGATAGAGACTTAAGTGCTTGGTAAAGTGGCAAAGAGTGAGGGCAGAGTTCAGCACCGGCACTGGGAGGGGTTAGGGGCGAGGGGATGTGGGGCAGGGGTCTTGTGGGAGAGGGTGGTGCCAGGAGTTGAGGACTGCTGTCATGGGCTGGAAAATCCTTCTGGTGACTGCAGCTGCTGTAGGTGTCTTCCTCCTGTCCTCTACGCCTCTTTCCCTCCTGTCTCCCCAACCCTTTCACCTTCCCGAGGGAGTCGCTGAAGTTGCACAGAGGTCACCAGACCCTCATTTAAGTATTGCAAACCACCCACTCCCTTCTGCCCCTCAAGTGTGTGAGAGAGTCTTCAGGATAGAGTGCCCCCCCCACCCACCCCTGTTTGGTGATGGGAGATTCTCAGGGAGAGAAAGACACAGAGGGCAAAGCTCCACTCTGCCCCTCCTCCCCTCCTCTTCCGGCAACCTTTCCCTAGCTGCACCCCCCCTCGGTCTTTCAGTCTTTCAGAATTTTAATGAGCAATTCTGGAAGAGTCCGGAAAGGCCTGCAGACACCCCCCACCCCCTCCCCCTCAGTGTTGTGGAATGATTATGTATGTGTTTATTTATTGTGCTTGCTTGGGTTATGTTGTGAATTGCCACATGGATTTGCTTTTGCTAGGGAAGCACGTTTGCTATCTTGGTGTTGTAGAATCAGAACCAGTGGCCATGGGGGAAGAGGGACACGCAGAGAAACCAAATGATTTGGTTAACATAAACCAGAGGGCAGTGTTGAAAAAGGCACCCTCTCATCCAGGCCCCTCAAAAATAAATAAATAAATAAATAAATAAATAATAAAAATAAAAATATGAAAAAGAACTAGAGAAAGAAAAAAAGAGGAAGAAAGTCTTTTAGCCAGCTTTCAGCCAGCTTATGGGTTCAGAGAAGCTCTTAGGTCCACACATGACCACCCACTACTTTCAGAACACTCCTGCTTAATACTTTAAGTCAAGATCTGGAGACCTGCGGATGTGGTGAAGTGTGTTTCAGAGCAGCTGAGTGACTTGGTCTAGTTTATAGAGAAACTTGTTTCTCACGCTGCCCAAAGACCAAATAGGGGAGTATGTTTGGAAAATGCTCAGATTCAAAAGCAGCAGGCAAGAGAAAAAGAAGCAGAAAAATGTCTTAGAAGGAGGCAGGGGATGGGACTTGGGAGTGGTTTCAGGATCTCCCCCCCTCCCCCTCCTGTCCAGTAGATTTGATGTTATCAAAATGAGTTAACCAACCTGAGAAACAGTTCTGTCATTGTGAGAAAGAGAGGGAAATTTGAACAGTTCTCAAATCTGAGCTGAGGAGTGGCTGACAGAAGGTACACAGACATGCTGATGGAGATGAAGTGACACCCGATGGGGTTTCTTTTCCTTCATACTTGAAAAGCATCAGCTATGTAATGAAACAGGCCTAGCTAATCTTTGAAACAGCTATATCAGTTATGCATGGCTTTGTTATTTTTCTTAAAGCAATTCTCATAACTGTTTAAACTTGCATAGAATTAAATGTGTATATATTGGGAATGGTATCATATTGCACATCAGACTCTCCATTGACTGGGATGATAAATGTAGATAAAAGATGTTTTTTTTTTTTTCTTTAATAAATCAAAACAGCATTTAAGTCTTCGTGCATGATACATCCTAAAATGTGCTGGTCATCTTTAACAGGAATTGCCTGGGAGCTGAGGGAATTTGTGATGGGTGGTGTTTTAACAAAATAGAGCAGATCAATCGATGAGGTTTCCATGTGTGTGCGGCTCAATTTATTCTGTACAATTTTTTCCAGAAATTAAAAGGTTACCAAGAGAGTACCATGTTCCCATCTCCAACTGAGCACCGCTTATTACTGCAACAGTATTTCAATATTAAGTGATCTTCAAGATATTTCATCTTTCATTTGAGTTCTGAATTTGAATCAGCATGAGAAGGGCAGAGCAGCAGGATAAGGTATAACTCACCACACGGACCTCTGAGAGGCTCCGAGGAAAGTGTTGCTGAGAAAAATATCTAGGCCTGTTCTTGGTAACCTTGTTTACAGGGACATTTCAGTTGAAGCTAGAATTCTAGTGAGAGTCTTCCAGAGGTAATGGACTTATGTTTGGAATTGATCTTAAGTGTCTCTTTTTTTTTCCTCCTTAGCAGACATGCTATGCACCTTAGCAGAACACTCTAGGCAAAACTTTTCTGACTGCCCCAGGACATTTTCTAATGTAGAGAAATCCCTGGATTAGTGTGCCACAGGAAAGGGGGTTATTTATGAGGCTGTCCTTTTGTTTACAGATGTGTTAGTACCAGTATCTTTAGTCGTCTTATATTTTTTTTATTTTTTCTTAATTTCTGATTGATTCTGTTCAATGCAAAGCAAATCATATTTGGGGAGGTTCAAGTATTCCTTTCAGATTGACCTATGAAATTGGTTTCAGCTTGACATTGAAGATATTATCACACCAGGGAAGGGTCTTTATGATATGATACAGAAATTTTGCATTTGTTTCAGAATTGTTGGAAAACTGTTGAAATAGAAATATTTTGAGGAAAATGCCAAAAGCCACATTAATGAAGAAAAACACTGCTGAGATACTTTTGAATAATAGATAGGATATGTAATGGTCAACCACAAGATAAAATTTTTACACAGTATTTTTATGGCTTCAAATTGGCTGCATTGTAAACTAAGCTTACTACTCTATTAAGTCATTATACTTTTCAATTATTTAACATTTCTGGCGGAGCTATCTTCTGTGGTCTTTTTCCGTACACATCAGAAATGATATGTACAGTAGTAATTGCTTGTTGTTAGTGTGAGGACTTTGCTATGGAGCAAGGTTTAATTTTAACTTCTAGGGACAAACATTATGAAGAATTCACAGAGAAAAATGAGTTTTATAGAAATAACTCTCACCCTATGAAATGGGGATAGCTATGGCATTGAAATTCACCTAATATAATCTGAGTTATGCTCACTAAGAAACCTTGACAGTATCTGCCTTCTAGGTACTGTGCATTTGGAAATAGTATATCTCCATTTAAATGCAGATCTTCAGTTTTCTCCAGGGAGCAGTTGGTGAATCTTTCAATTGAACTACTGGTATGAGAAAACCTACTGAAATTTCTCCATGAACAATAGAAACCGCCGTTTTGAAATAACGATTACCAAGTATCATAATATTGTGATTTTTAAATTCATTGAAAATCTCTTTATAAAGTCAAAATAATGTACTGGGGCCTCTGTGCAAACAAAGAAGTTTTCTCCTGTCATTTTGTTATCAGTTGGTTAAAGCTGTGAAATACAATGGCTCCGAAGTTCAGGGTTCGGGTTAGTATTGCCATCCCAGTAGAGTAAGTGACCTTCAGGTTCAGAGCAAGGAATGATGCGTAAGTTCAGCCAGCTCTCACCCTCTCATGCTGGCATGTGGGGCTGGGGGTAAGTGCTGTAGGAGAACTTAAGGATCTTTCTCTGAAGCAATCTTTTTTATGTTATTTTGGATCTAACTTATCATGGTACTTTGTACTGGAATGGGTGGTGGTGGTGGCTAAGCAGAACCAGAGCCTGAGTGGCCTTCTTTTAAGAAAGTCATAGCTTTTGAAATACGACACCTCCAGGGTTCTGGTCTCTTAGAATAAAGGGAATTGGACAAATCCTTGCAAATCGTTAAATAAAAATTCCTGACAATGTGGCTGTGATAAGATCCCTGTGATAATGCTACAAGTCTTTGTGTCTTTATCACATAGATAGGGAACTTTTCTTTTTCTGGGAGATTAGCTACCACTCATTTATTCAAACCTGATTATTTCCAATTGGACAAGGCCATCTCCTTCTTGCACAGTACTGGCATAGACCCCTTTTCTTATTTAGACATGCATATAGACATTTAATAGTGCATTTAGAACATTCTCAATAACACCAGTAGTTGTGGAGAAGTGTCTCTTATAGTTTTAAATCAGGCCTTTATTTATAGTTCTATAGTGGAGGATGTGTTGTTCATGGTTACCACCAAAGACGGTTGTTTTTGACAAAACTGTGATAAAATAATGGACACTGGCAATTCAAAGATATTTTATTTGCTTATGGATACTTATGGCTGGTTTAGATGTCAGGCTGCTACAATAAATATCCTTGGGATGTGGCTCAGGGGTATTTTGCTTGTCTAGTACATAATGAGGCTCTGGGTTTGATCCCCAATATGGGAACCTCCCTCTCTCCAAAGTCCCTCCAAACTCTGGATAGGACTCTAAAAAGGATACTAACACATTAATTTACTTTCCTTAAACAAATTATTTAACTTGGAAAATCTGCA